ATAACAGAAACAAAAAGAAAAACGTGTTTTTTTTTTCAAAGTTTTCGGTCTTTTTTGTTAATTTAGCAAAAAATAAAAACCCCAGCAATGATTAAATACCACCAAATGAAAGCTCAAGTTGTGTGAAGAAAATGATAAAATTTTAGTTTGGGTACAATGTTGCATGACCGTGCAATTGTCATTCAAAGTGTGAGAGCGCTGAAACCTGAAAAATGTCCTGGGCAGGAAGGGCTAAAAGTGCCTGGTATTGGATTGGTTAAATAACTACAATTTGGTGTTTTATAGTGCCATGAATAATTCTGCCATTTTTACATCTCATTTTGCATTGAATTCAAAAAGTGCAACTTAGGCAGGCCATACATGATTCATTTTCTGTTGTGCAGCTCGTAGGTTGAAGGAACGACAATGAATTGATTCCCCCCATCCACACATTCAATGCTATTGTATTATGGCAGCGGAGAGGCTTTCCCACTGTCAGAATACACTCATCAGCACTGCCAGTTATAGCCAACGGCACTGATGCAGCAAACATTTTTCAGTGGGCTGCTTATACAACCAGCCTGCCCACAGATAGATCGACATTCATCTGGTCCTTACTGAACAAGACACATTTCGATTCTATGGCCTGCTTAAGGATTTGGTGCAACCAATGTCTTTGAAAGAAAGTCCTTCCAGCAGTTTGCTATTGTCCTCTAATGATATTGTAACCTGGACTGTAGCTGATAACTGCTGTGGATATTCTTCTTTTGTTGCTGCTGTATTATCCTTCTACAGTATGGACACGGGTAAACTATTTATTCATTGATGCAGAAGTGCAGCAGCTATCTTTAAGGAGATCACTTTGTAATGCACGTCTATGGAGTATCTGCAGTGCAGAGGACAGCCATCTTAGCTTGACAACAGAGCAAGGAGAGAGTAAACTGGGCTACTTGAAAAAGAGAGCTCTGTTGTGCCACCAGCCTGCAGAATGCATGGAGGAAGCTACTGTAGTTTCCCGTACTGAGCAGATACCACCACAAGGTTGCAGTAAAGGGGGAACAGTGGTGTGCGTCGAGAGGTGCTGGAGCTATCTGATTCTGTGCTGCCCAGGAAAAAAGGCTGATCAGAGACCACTGCTGCTGTCATACTCTGTACAATGCTGCATTTCATAGTGAGAGGATGGTCCTGGAAGCAACCAAGTGTGTGGGAAAGAGACTGAGCTGCTGATGCTGTATGAAGAGATCCCTGCCATAGCTGACTACAATCAGATGAGAATTCAGAGAAGTATAGGGACTGAGAACCTTCTCCCTGGTGGGATTAGGATGCCTGATGAGAGCAGACTGTACTAGAGAGCACTCTCACCATTTGTGAGGTTGGAAAAGAGGAACTGTCTCAGCAGGACTGAAAGAGAGAGATCATAAGTAACTTCTATCTCTGTCTGACATGAAGTGGACTTTTAGTGAACCAGAACATATGTCAGGAGACCCAAAAGAGGGTGCACTTTCATTGGCAAGAGACTAACATCACAAAAGTTAATCTGTTATCTGCTGGGAACTGTTGTGCTTTCTTCAGGCAGGAATCTCCAATTCCTATCGCCCGACACCCGGGACATGTAGTTCTGGGCGCTGAGCAGGTAGTTTTTTTTTGCCCTTAGCCCTGCTGCGGGCAAGCTACCGCCCGATTGCTTCCACACAGCCCAGTGTCAGCCTCTCCTCCGCTTTTTATGTCACAGGCTCCGCTTGCCCACCTGCAGGCCCGGGACAGGTTCTGCGGGTGCCACAGGATGTGGTATAGGGGAGGGAGGAGGAAAGCGGACACATCCACTCCCCTCCCCTTTCTTCTCCTGATCTGGAAGTGATGTGACGTCACTTCCTGGTTCCTGTTCAACAGATTCCCGGTCATTGAGGCCAGGAAAGAATGTAATGCGGTGCGATGTGCACTGCATTACATTCAGTGTAGTACAGGGGAGACATGCAGGGTTTTTAGACCCTGCATGTCTCAAAAAAGAGAACCTGTCACTTTCTGTCCCTTTTATGTGATTAAAAAAAAATGTTAACTTTTTTTTTTTTTAAATGGAAGTTACACCCAAGCATATAACACCCCAAAATTTTTCAAGGCCTCCTCATGCACAAATGTAAAAGCACATACTCGGGCTCCTACCCATGAAAACGTGGATTGCGATACACGTTACATATTGCCGTGCATGCCAGAGTGAGAGCAAATAATTCTAGCACCAGATCTCTTCCGTACACTATACTAATGACCTATAAGGGGCTTTAAAAATGTCGCCTATAAAAAATATAGGGTACTAAAGTTTGTTGCCATTTCACGAGCGCACGCAAATTTAAGGTTTGACATGTATATTTTTTTACTCGCTGCAACCTCGTCTTTTATATATAAAAAAAAAAATTGATAATTTATTGCTTTTTGTGCCCTATATTTAACAAGTGTATTTTTTGTGATAATATCGTGTGTGTAACGGAACGGAACCCAGACCGCACTAAGTTTTTCCGTCATACTGCAGCCTCCCCTGTCCGAACACCATCCACAGACCACACCACCCACTGATCATGCAGGAAAGTAAGACAGCACCCAGCTCTTCTTAAAACAGGAAGTGAACTCACTTTATTTTACACAAACAACAACTTATATACACGGGGTGGGGAAACACAACCAGGAACAGGAAACACATCATCAGCCCGCCCCATCAGTGGGAAGGGCTACAGGATGGGCAGGAAACACATAATCACCCCTCCCCATCCAACCAAGACACAGAAAAATGGGATGCAGCCATGTGTCAAAAGACATTGACCAACCCCCACTCCAATACACAAACAGTACATCCCATAATAGTTTGCTGGCCAGCAAGACACAATAAAACAATGGGGGAGGTAGCATGTGCCAGTGAACGATGGACAACCACATGGCAGAGAACAATGAACAATCCCCACACCAATACTCCGACATTCACACCCTGTACCCCTAAACAGGCACAGGGTGGGTTAAACATAATGGGGGGAACATGAGCTGACACAGAGGTCCCCCCACCCCCAAATTCACTCCCGTCACAGTGTGACATAAAAAATTGGAACTACCGCTGTTTTATTCTCTAGGATCTCTGATTTCACAAAATATATAATATTTGGGGGGTTTGTGTCATCTGCAGGCCTAAAATGATTTTTTAAACGTGTGCAAATAACGCAAAAACAGCTCTGGCAGCAAAAGGGATGAACCCGACACTCCCCTTTCATGATGAGCAGCCAATCGGTGCTCACTACACTGCAAGGTCTCTCCCCTCCCTGCTAGCCCCCCGGGTGCGGTGCCGGAGACAGGCATGGAGGGGGGGGGGAGGAGATAAACAGCACAATGTTAAAAATATTAAACGTTTAAGTCGCCATAAAGCCCCTTTTGTTTTTAAAAGCCCCGGACATTACTTAAAGCAGATTTAAATACAGTTTTGGTTAAAATGTATGTTTTTTTTTAATCAGGACAAGTAGATTGTCATGAGGGACAAGTAGATTGGGACACCGATTTAGTCCCTGGACAAGCAGTTTTTTCAAAACTTTCCACACCCCTGTCAAGAGCCCCAATTGTGCTGGACAATGTTTTTTTGCCATCAATCGCTGGCCAATGGGTTAAAACTGGGACTGTAATAGCAAGTTAGGACTGCCTTATATACTGCTGCTGGGCAAATGCAATTCAGTTTTGATAATTATTGTTAATCAGAATATTCAGCTGTTCATCCATATCTCCATGTAGAGTAAAGTTATTATTGATTGTTCCTAAAAGTACACTTGCTAAGGATTTCTTATTGTTTTAGGCTTTGCTGGGTTTACAAAGAAATCCCAAAACAAGTCAGCGGCTCATCTGGGGGCAGCGCTACAATATAGTATAGATACACTGCTGCCTTACTGCCTATAGAAGTGATAATATTCATAGGCAACACACTTTGCTGAATGCACATCAAGTGTAAAAGGAACTTCTGAAGGCTTGGTCACACAAAAGAACTACAGTACTATTGACCTAAACAAAACCCACAATTCCCACTAAACCCACAAGTTTAAGTCGAGGAACATATTAGTTATTGGTACTTCAGGGAAGGATATTGATATGACTTTAAGGGGTTTTTGAGGATTTTTGTATTTGTGTGTGCTGATTTATACTTATTCAGTACTATTGACCTTATTATTGTAACCATCAACGCTCATTCATGTAATGACCAATCAAGCAGCAGGTCACATGACAGTTGTATACAATGGATGGCTTCATTCATGCAATCCATTGTATACTAGTGCCTAGCTGTGAATGGTCACAGCTAATCACATGCACATGTCATGTGATTAGCTGTGACCAAATCACAGCTAAGCACAAAAAAAAAAAAAAAAAAAAAAAAAAACCTGAAATGAATCGATGTCATTCAGGTAAATGCTTACTTATAGCAAAGTAATTCTTTGCTATAAGCATATTGTGTAAAAAAAAAAAATACTGATCACTTCAACAAAGTAGTACAATGTTACTATGGTAACATTGTACTACTTTGGTCATAGTAAAATATGAAAAAAAAAGTAAATAAAAAATTAAAAATAATAAAAATATATATATATATATTTTTTTTTTTCATACTGTCACCAGTCAGTGTCCCTGTTCACCGCCATGCCAGTTATATGATGATGCTGTACTGCACTGGTGACAGGATGTAAAAAAAAAAATAGTGAAAATAATTTTTTTAATTTTTTAATTTTCCGAAAAATTATAACAAAAAAAATACAACTTCAAAAAACTCGCCATTCCTCTTATGAAGTACGTCGGACTGTCTACTCTGCAAAAAGGGGTCATTTGGGGGATATCTGTACTATTCTGACATTTAGGGGATATCTGTACTATTCTCACACATTTGGGGGATATCTGTACCGTCCTGACATTTAGGGGATATCTGTACTGTCCTGACATTTGGGGGATATCTGTACCGTCCTGACATTTAGGGGATATCTGTACTGTCCTGACATTTGGGGGATATCTGTACTGTCCTGACATTTGGGGGATATCTGTACTGTTCTGACATTTGGGGGATATCTGTACCGTCCTGACATTTGGGGGATATCTGTACCGTCCTGACATTTGGGGGATATCTGTACCGTCCTGACATTTGGGGGATATCTGTACTGTCCTGACATTTGGGGGATATCTGTACTGTTCTGACGTTCTTGGACCTCAAGAAATTAGATTGGCTGTCACTTCAGGATTGATCAATATTCAGATCTATACCATAGTTTGTGAACTCTATAACTTTCCTACAGACTAAATAATACGTCCTAATTTGGGTTATCTTCACCAAAGACATGTAGCAGAATACATCTCGGCCTAAATTTATGAAGAACAATTATTTATTTGTAAACTTTTATAACAGAAACAAAGAAAAACGTGTTTTTTTTTTTTCAAAATTTTTGGTCTTTTTTTGTTAATTTAGCAAAAAATAAAAACCCCGGCGGTGATTAAATACCACCAAAAGAAAGCTCTAGTTGTGTGAAGAAAATGATAAAATTTTAGTTTGGGTACAGTGTTGTATGACCGCGCAATTGCCATTCAAAGTGTGAGAGCGCTGAAACCTGAAAAATGGCCTGGGTAGGAAGGTGTAAAATTCCCCCGTATTGAAGAGGTTAAGTAAACAATCAGATATAGGTTGACAGAACAATGATGATAATTAAGATGGCGCCTTCATCCAGAGTCTCACCCTTGGTGACTCATTAGGAGAAAAGTATCTTTTAATGTAAACAACCCCCATAAAAGGGAATGAGTCTTTTTGGGGACAATGATTGGAAGATATCAACACGGATGGAAGAACACGCAGAAACCCCGTGGACTTTTCACCCAATCAATATATATGCTTTGCCTGTATCATAAGCCCTATAAATGATACTGTTAGTTCCTCATTCCCTAACCCTCAAGGGGTGTACAATCTAAGGTCCCTAACCCTCAAGGGGTGTACAATCTAAGGTCCCTAACCCTCAAGGGGTGTACAATCTAAGGTCCCTAACCCTCAAGGGGTGTACAATCTAAGGTCCCTAACCCTCAAGGGGCGTACAATCTAAGGTCCCTAACCCTCAAGGGGTGTACAATCTAAGGTCCCTAACCCTCAAGGGGTGTTCAATCTAAGGTCCCTAACCCTCAAGGGGCGTACAATCTAAGGTCCCTAACCCTCAAGGGGTGTACAATCTAAGGTCCCTAACCCTCAAGGGGTGTACAATCTAAGGTCCCTAACCCTCAAGGGGTGTACAATCTAAGGTCCCTAACCCTCAAGGGGCGTACAATCTAAGGCCCCTAACCCTCAAGGGGTGTACAATCTAAGGTCCCTAACCCTCAAGGGGCGTACAATCTAAGGCCCCTAACCCTCAAGGGGCGTACAGTCATAGGTCCCTAACCCTCAAGGAGCGTACAATCTAAGGTCCCTAACTCACATTCATACATACACATACTAGGGCCAATTTAGACAGGATCCAATTAACCTACCAGCATGTCTTTGGAGTGTGGGAGGAAACCGGAGCACCCGGAGGAAACCCACGCAGGCACAGGGAGAACATGCAAACTCCAGGCAGGAGGTGCCGCGGTTGGAATTCAAACCAACGACCCGAGTACTGTCAGGCAGAAGTGCTAACCATTTAGCCGCTGTGCTGCCCATATATGTTTCATTATGTATTTTTATGAATGTTATTAATATTATATACTGCTTTATGTTATGAATTTCGCATCGTTTCCTAAATGTCCATAAGCTGACCACTATAAGTAGCGCTGGCTATATTTTAATGTATAATTACAGTATCCCATTTTATAAAAACTCTAGAATATTGCTTTCAGTAAAAGTTATGTCTCCCCACAAAGTGCCTTTAATACAGTTATTGTGGAGATGGTCATAAAATTGCTTCTGTATTTACGATATGGCATCATGTGTAGAGCACACCAAAGCACAGATGAAGGTCTGTACGAGAGTTGCCTTTTCCCCATGCTACTCTATATAACATTTCTAAGAAACCACATAAAACAATCAAACAATGAAGAAATTGAATCTACTTGCCATAAATTATATGAAATAGTGTAAAAAGCATATCATGTTATTGGGGCCATCTGCATTTCTTCACAACAAATTTCACTTGGCCCTAATAATGTGATATGATTATCCAATCTGGAATCCATCACTTTGTATTTGTAGTAAATCAGCCTGTGAAATATAGACTGAGCGACATTTTTGCAGTGTCAATAATATGTATTATGTAGGACTACTTTCATTTGGGACCTAATTCTTACCTATTTCATCTTCCAGTTAGTGCTAATAATAGTTTCTTTTTGAAATGTATATGTATAGAGGTGTACTATATTCACTAGTTACACAGTTACATAGCTAGGTTGAAAAAAACAGCAACGTTCTGCAATAACTTTACAGCAAGTCTCCTGTACAGCTTGGTTTGATAATATCGGAATTAACTTTTCTCCATAGGAAGTTCACTCCCTGTCCTAGTTCCAGGCTTAGTGAATCACTTACAGAAAGGCCCTACCCAAATATTGCAATACCTGTTGAATAAATAGGGTGGCCTCACAAGAGAAAAATAAAATGCAATGGCGATTGCTAAGGGTAATTTGTCCAATGCCTTCTACTCTAGCCTCTTTGTTAAATTTGGACAGGCAACCAGGGACAGCCATAGTTAGCAGCTCTTTCCTCAAAAGGCAGACACGTGTGTACATGAATGGCCCTTCCATTCAGTGTTTCTGCCATTCGTGCCCTGGGCACACATGATTTCCTGTACCAAGCTCAACAGCTCAGGAGCTACCTCCTACCCCTGAACTTCAAAGCAGGCAATAAACCAGTGGAGTCCACATACAGTATGTATTGAATGATGCACTGTCAAGTAAAGCATGCACACTTCAAGCAATAGCCAACACGCTATAGTAGACAGCAGTGCTTACTGTGATCTTATTTCTAGCAGGGGCCCAAGGACTGTTACAGTCATCCACACACACAAATATGTGTACTACAGTGCAGATGCATGTAACCAATACACATATACATTATATACATGTGTGTGTGTGTATGTATATATATATATATATATATATATATATATATACACTGTGGGGTTAGCTCAGGTGGGGGATCTCCTTCCCTGGGAAAAAAGGTAGACCGCACAGCAGGCTTTCTTCAAAATCTGACTGGTTGTCAGTTTTATTTAAAAGGTTTGCAAAAATATCAAAAAACAAAACATCAAAATAAACCCTCGCCATCCCAGCACTAACTAAACAGGAGACGTTTCCTCTCTCAGAGGTGAAGGGCTTCTCCCTGTCACCCAAAAGCCAACCTTTTCTTGTAGGTATAGTACACACACAGCTCTCTCAGAATACCTGAGTCCCAGGCCACGAGCCACTCCTTGCTCCAGCCCTGCCTCCTTTATACCACCTGTTGGTGGTCATCAGTGGAGCACAAACTCCGGTCCGGAACCACCTCTGCCATTGTGGCCCCGAAAACCCGGAGTGGACTCCACCTTACACCTCACAGCATGACCTCATGCGAGGTGACACATATCGTCCATCCATCACTTTGCCGCTCATACTGTCACAATACACACACTGAATATGCTAATGGGCAAAAGTTTCAGAACAGCCCAATTTTTACAGTTTGTACAATTTTACAATGGAAAGCAAATATTGTTCGAAACGTTCTTTGAGGTGTGGCTGTAGTGTTGAAGTTCCCACAAATGTGTTGCACTTGTACACTTTTCACTTCTCTATCCAGTTCATCCCAAATCAGCTTAACCTCCCTGGCGGTATGATTCCTTCCGATTTTTTGTGCTGAAAGCGGTACCATTTTTTCGCATGGAAATAGTTTTTTATTGTAGGCTGTAATTTTTAGGAAAATTTCCCCACAAATCATTATCACTCAATTCTGCAAGTGGTTCTGATTTACTATCGCTGTTCTCTAGCCGGTCTAAAACCGCGTCTGACCTAAAGGGACGCTTTTTGGACGCCATGGACGTTTCTAAGTTTCCAGGCAGAAAGAACAGTCAAAATGCAGGCAGGGCACCGGACAAAGCACTCGGGACAAAATGTATGTGAAATGGGATGAAACAGCAATGTTTTACTATTTAAAATTGAAAAAAAAAAATGACATTTTTTAAATTTCCCGCCGCCGGTACGTCCCGACGCCACGGGGACCGGAACACAGAAGCCGGATGCCGGCATCGACTGGAAGAGATGGCCGGGGACGCTGCAGGGGACACATCGTGGGAACGAAGGACAAGGTAAGTGCTGCAGGGACCCCCAGAGCAGCGCCGCATGGTAAGCCCGAGTGTAGCTCGGGGTTACCGCTTGTGGTATAGAAATTTTACCCCGAGCTACACTCGGGAAAACCGCCAGGGAGGTTAATAGGGTTTCAGGGACTGTGCTGGCCATTCATAGCCTGAAGATATGTATTGGGTCATTATCATGCTATAGGATGAACCCCGGAATAACTTGCATTGACCAGATATGATTGCATAGCACCAGTAATTGAGGCTCTGCTATGTGCCAGTACCCTCACTATAAAGGGTTCCCAGTTGTTTCTTGCCAATGTGTCTTGGAGTAACTTAGGGATACCTTACAGCCTGTGTAGGAAGAGTTAGTTGCTATACTTAGCTATATTGGGTTAAATTGCTGTGGATTGCAGTGTGATGGGCTACAGTCTAGTGTACCACCCGTTTTTTTAAAGTTTGGAGACCCAATTGTCCTTTGTAGGACTATTACCTGTTATTGAATCTGTCAGCAACAACTGTAGTTGCCGTTTAGTTGCTGCAACACCCTCCCCTGCAGTCTTTTTTTTTTAATTTCCTTTTATTTAATGTTTATCCTTTTTTTTAGATGAAAAATGTCAGACAGGCCTAAAGGGAGAGTCAGAGGTTTTGCTGGCAGAGATAGTAAAGGCCCAGAAGGTTCTGCAGGTCAAAACAATGGTTGGGCTGCACCATACAGAGTCAGGGCAAATCTGCATTTTCCATGTCAAAGGGTCTGTACTGTATAACTGTATAGCCACAGCATGCCCAATAGAGTGGTTGACAACTGCTTCCTCTTCTTCCCTCTCCCAGGTGAAAAGAAGCCAGTTGTCTGCAACATCCTCTAATGATCCTCCTCTTCCTCCTTTTTTGTTAATCTCTCCACAAGCTGGAATTGAGGAGTTGGCAGCATTATTTGATCACATGACCATTTACCTGCTGCAGGAGGATTTTTTGCATTTGTATTTTGTATTTCATATATTGAGCATGAGAAAGATAGCGCTAGGACCATAGAGGGAGAGGACATCAGGCAAGGAACAGAAAGAAGCAGTGATGTTCCAGCAACTGGTGAGGTGTAA